GGCACGGGCACGGGCACGGGCACGGGCACGAGCACGAGCTCGGACGACGATGCCAAGAGCCAGAGCGGGTTCAGCGTGGCGGTGGAAAGGACGTTCGTGCCCGACTATCCGGTGAACGAGTACGGGATCAGCCTGCGAGCCATGCGGTGTCTGGAGATTACGGAGAGCGTGTGCCAGCTGCGCGATCTGATCGACATGAGCATGCGCGACAAGCTGGGCCCCATCGATGCACTGCGCAAGTTTGCAGGCCAGTATCGCGATATGCAATCGGGCCGAGCCACGGCGCAAGTGGGCGCAGCGGGCGCAGCGGGCGCAGCAGGCGCAGCAGGCGCGGCTGGCGCGGCTGGCGGCGCGCTGGGCGACGGCAATAGCAATGGCAATGGCAATGCAGCGAATGCTCAGCAGCAGCCAGCGCTCAACACGGCCGCCACGCCAGGGCCGATGGGACGATCGCCGAGCGCGCACGGCCGGCCGCTGGAGAACGGAACGGGCTCGAACCATGCGTCGCCGGTGGTTGCCAACGGCGTGACGAGCCTGAAGCGCAAGGGCAAGACGGCGCCCAGTCCGAGTCCCAAGCTGGCAGCCACCGCGAACCCAGCCAAGAGGCAACGGTGAGCCGCCCCGGCTGTGTTTGTTTCTGACTGTTTTTGTACTTGTATCATTGTCGATGGTGTAGCCTGCAATTTCTCACGTCACCTCTGCCAGAGCTGTATTCTCTCATTCGCAATCCTGTAGCGCGAGTATCGTTGGCTGTGGATTCCTGCCGACGTGGCCCCATCCGGGATGGCGGAGTGGAATTGCGCGAATAATAATGAATGACGGCGGCTGCACGCGGCTGCAGGCGGCGGTGGTGGAATTTGGTGTTGGGGAAGCCAACGCGTCGGAAATGCAATGCGCACTTTGCTCTCGATCTTCCATCATCACTCCTTCAACCACGCTTCAACCACGGCTGGGATCGTTGCAAACATGTGGCTCACAGATCAGCAGAGTAAGTCCGCACCCGCTTATGCTCAGTTTGCAAGCATTTCTTAGCTGACGCGTGTACTGTTTGGCAAAAACAGAGATCGGTGCGGGTCTGGTGTCGTTCGGGACGTTCTTCATCTTTGTGGGCATCCTGCTCTTCTTCGATGCCGCACTCTTGGCGCTCGGAAATGTGCTCTTCACGGCGGGCATTGCGCTGCTCATCGGACCGCAGAAGACGTTCTACTTTTTCGCGCGCAAGCAGAAGATCCGCGGCACCATCTGCTTCTTCGCCGGCATGTTGTTGGTGTTCTGCAAGTGGGCGGTGATCGGCATGCTGGTAGAGGCATTCGGATTCCTCAATCTCTTCGGCGACTTCTTCCCAGTCATCCTCAACTTCCTAAGGCAGCTCCCCGTGATCGGCAACGTGCTCTCGCTTCCAGGCGTCGCAAATGTAAGTTCCCCGCCGCGCACGCGCGCGCGCCCGCAAATGATGGGTGGAGCGAGCCGGTACTGACTAGAGTCTTTGCTTTCCACAGGTACTGGATAGGCTGGCAGGTGCACGTCAATCGGCTGTCTGAGAGCAGGGTTGCTCGCCCACGCATAGGTACGCAAGCCAAACTCGCAACGATCGAGCGTTGTAACCTCGGAAGCCACGCAATCAGCACAAAACATACTTGACCGCGTCCCAGAACTGTGTTGGGTCAAGTCAAGAAGCTGCACTCGACGCTTGGGGTCCCAGGCTAGAGGAGGCCGTGGTGAGACGAAAGCTGTGTATGCTATGCTGTGCTATGCTATGCCTGCTGAGCTTCTAGCGCAGGGGGTGTGAAGTGAAAGACGGCGCGATCTCACACTGCCAAACCGGTCGAAATTCTCAGACGCGTCGTCCGTCGGTCTGAGAGCGAGAGAGAGAGAGAG